TCTATCTATCTATCTATCTATCTATCTATCTATCTATCTATCTATCTGACTTGAAATGTGTGAAACAAAGTTCGGAAGTAGCTAATGAAGATTCCTGCTGACATAAGTGGAAGAGTGCAAATATTTCCCATTGTGAGAGTAAAATCCCGGGAGGCGTGCAGAGGAAGGGATCGGGGTGGTAGGCAGCTCGGTGAGGAGCATAGCCAGCATGCTCAGAGTTGGTCGGATTAATGCCAGTGGAAGAAGAGGAGGCTCTGGTCTCATCAAGCTTAGAGAAACTCTCCACCAGCTTTTCCGCTGCGTGGCTGAGATCTCCCTTTTGTTGGAGCTGTGTGACTGATGGGGATGAATCTCAGAGTGATGACTGACACGTTATCACTGTGCTCAGAGGTGAAATTAGACTAATTTGACTATTGTAACTAAATAGCTACATTATTAGACTAATACTGTATGTTTCTTCTGTTGTTCAATTATGTTGTTAATCTATCACTTTTTCAATCACTCTTCATCACTCTTCTTCACCCAGAAAGGCCCTGGTTCCCTAATTTCCTCATGAAAATATTACATTTTTCATATTAACAAAAACGCAACTGTTTCTGCCAAAGGTCATATTATTTAACTAGTCATTAGGTAAAATAACAATCACAATCAAATTCATAATTTTGCAGTTTCTTGATCCATGAAAATCCTTTATTTAGCATAATATTATACTAAATAAACTTACTGCACTGGGGGCATTTCATGCTGGTGTCATAAATAGCATTTTGGGGGAAAAACAGTGTTTAGATCTTTTAAACTTTAAGTAAAATGTGCATAATATTGCATCTGAGCAAGTTCTTCTCCGTTTTGATTGAATTTTAAATAAGATTTTTTTTATTGCTTTGTGTTTCTATTCATTCTCTGAAAATGTCAGTGTACCTGTTTACTTTGTTTAGTCTTTCCATGTAGGTGGTTGGATTTGATTGTCCATATGGGACAAGTTTGTGTAACCTCTGATTACAACATGTGGGAAGATGTCAAAGTTTCGGATTTATCCGAAGCGCAAAGAGAAAAAGCCTGACAATCAGAATGATTTCTTTAAAAAAAAAAGGGTGAATGTTCCCTTTAGCCCCTGAAAACACTGGGGAGTCTCTGCTCCAGCTCTCTCTTACCGTCATTTTGCAGCTCACTGGCGTTGCTCCTCTGTCAGAAAGCTGCCGGACATAAATCACCAGGCTGCTTTTCGCCCAGCAGGTGGAAAAACCTCCTCTCTGTATATTCTTTCAACCTACTGGGGACAACCAGGAGCTGTCACTCAGCTGCGGTCGGAGTTCGGCCGAGGGCTGCAGCCGTCTGCAGTCTGACTGGTTGATCAGAGGTTTTCACATCTTCTTCAGCTGTAACTTTAATCTCAAACGGACCCGTCCTCCCTCAGCTGCTGCACGCTGGGCGGATCTCTGGGGTGTCATGCATCTTTGTGTGTGCTTGTATGTAATTGAGTGTGAAGCCACAGATTAGTGGTCGGTTTCTGTTCAACCCCCACAGATGTGACGGGTCAATGTTTATTGTTTTAAAATCTAAGCTTAATTTTTGTGGTTTTTCGGTTGCGATTCAAGCAGGCCGCTTACAGTGTGGAGTTTGCATGTCCTCCCTTTGCATGTGTGTCGTCCACAGTCCAAAAAGGTGCACCTTATTACAAAAGTGTGAATCCCTGTGGTAAACTTGTGTTCATTGTTATTGGATTAAGCAGGTAAATAAACTGAAGGGATAACACTGTAAGTTACTTGTATCTTGAGTTTATCAGATGAAAATCTAACTTATTTTAACTTTTATGTGATGAACATAAAAAAATCCATCTGTTTTACAAAGCTGCGTTTACCCATTCAGAGCCATGTGAAAATGTAATAAACTGAACCATTTGCTGTCTATTATTCCCTTATTTTTCTTCCCATGTAAGTTGTGAAGGTGAAAATGTAAGTTTTATACTCAACAACAACTGTTGACGGTGGGAAACTGGATCGTTTCAGAAGCAACCAATTCTTCAATTGCACCTATTTACGCTTTTGAAATAAAGGGCACAGTGCACTCCCTCTGTGAGGACCTCAGTGCTTTTGTGAGGCAGTTATTCTGAAAGTAATGAGTGGTGAGTGAGGGGCCTCATAACTGAAGCTTCTGCCTCCAATTCTACTTTTACAAACTCTCTGAAAGCACCCGGGCCCAGATACTCCTCACAACACCACAGTGGTCAAAAGGTCAGAAACCTTTTCATGTCCCTGCACAGTTGATCTCGTTGTAAACGGTGTCCTGTGGCAACAGGACAACACAAAGCGCACACACACAAAGTGCAACAACACTTGTCAGATATTGTGTTCCCTTCTCATGTCGTGTGTTTTTAGCTGCTGAGCTGTCAGTCAGCAGATTACGCCACATCCCTCTCAATCTCCATCTCTCACTCAGTGTCCCGTCGGGGGGGATTTTCCTCTCACACCCGGAGCCCCTCGTGGTTTGCAGATCCCGCTCTCAGCTGCCCCCCATTACCACAGTCCACGCATACTGCACACTTCTTGCCTCGGAGGTCGGCATTGGTTACAACCAAAGCCTATCGGCGCGTGAGATCACAGGTCTGAGGCCACATGTCGGACGTTATGCAAGTCCCTGTGTTACTGCGGTTCACTGGCTCAGCCCACAGCTCCACAGCTCCACAGCAGTCCCAACCATGTGTCACTCAGCCATGTGCAGAGGCGGTTTGCCCCAGCACTTTACCAATGGAGCTGTCGTTTGTGTCCTGCCCCTCTCGTTGTTGGTTAAGCAACAAAAAAGAACGTGTTTTACAGTAAGTTGCTGTAATACCTCAAGGCTAAAACACTCATCCAGACATTTGAAGTGTGTGGAAACCTATGAAAATAAGAATAACTGTGGAAGATGGGGTATTTTACTAAAGTATGCCAGAAAGGGCTGAACAGACAGCAGGGCTAAAGTAGGTCTCTATCGAGATTCCCGAGGCTTAGTTATATGCAATTTCTGCCACTAGATGCTGCTACAACATTCACACTGGACCTTTGAATCAAATCCATCTTACAGAAAATACATCACCTATAACCAAATAAGACAAAGACAGCTGATTTAAGCAGCAGGTTTTGGTAGAAAAAAAAAGAAAGAAAAGAAAGAAAGAATATAGTCACAGGACTTCCTCCAGCCAATCATCATGGGTCCAGCTACTTTTCGACAAGGTGATGTCATCAGCTGTGACCAATCAGCAGTGAGCCAAAAGCAGTCAGACTTTTTCTGTGGTTCCAATTCTGTCACATATTTTGTGTGCGGAAGATCTTGAAGATTTTAGTGTGTTTATTTCACATAGTGTGTTTATTTCATATAGTTTTTTAGATAAGCAAAAAGCTGGATGATGACTTATTTTATCCTGATTTGCAGTCTAAACTGTTATCTAAAGCAGTACATATAAACACAAATGTTTCCTAACATCAGTGAAAAATGCCAAGAATAATCAATGTAGTTTATTGTGTAAAAGTTAGTTTGAATAAAGGGTGATTTTGCCGAGTTTCCAAAAAGTCCAGATATGTACAGTATAAAACAGGTCATTCATAAAGGGTTAACCACCACACAGAGACAGAGAAAACAGGCAACCATGCATGCTCACACTCTCCTACAGGCAAATTACAGTCAATATTTTATCTAACATGCATGTTTTTCAGAGTATCAGGAGTGAAGTGTCTGGATCTTAGGATCCATTGAAAAAATGTGATTTATAAGAACACAGATGTGTGTCTCACAACATGTGCTTAGTCAGTACCCCCTTAACGCATGCCATCACAAATATGCGACATACCAAATTGACCCCAAATTGACCAGTATGCCTGTTGCAAATTTGCAACGTACCAAAATTTCTATTAATTTTTTGTGCAAAAGTAAAATTAATAATGTCAACATTATTTACCATCTACTTAAAGGTAAAAACAAACGTAAACATTTTTTTTGTATACAGCTATATAAATTTAGGCTTTAAGGATGTACTGTTGAATACGTTTGCTGTTGGCTATTCTTACTTTAAGAGCCAATGACATGATGGCGTTGACTTTAAAAGCATACAAAATTTATGGCTCATGAATGTACTACTCTTTTTAATAGTGGTAAGGTTGCAGCCTGGTGACAGCAATATAGGAAAGGAAATACATACAGAGTTAACGAGAACATTGTTGTCACACCACCATAACTACAGGCGTGTTTATGCAACAATCATTCTGATATATCTGATTCGGCTGCATCCGTAACTCCACATCATTTATGCGTGTTCACTCGTTATCTTATGACATTTTCTATGATATTTCTAATTTAGTTTAAACCAAGTTTAAACTTCAGTTACTTTATCATCAGGTATGTATTATTCAACACTTATATAATCAGCTGTATGCCTTCCTACAAAGAAATTGTTGATATTGTCAATTTCTCCCTGGAGATGAATAAAGTATATTCAATTCAATTCAATTCAATTCAATATTTTGCAGCCTCAGCATGTTTTTAACCGTGAGTGAGAAATAACCACCTACTGGATCTTTTCTGAATACTTATACCATCAGTTTTGCCATATTCTGACACATATAACCTGTCATAACACACACGAAGTCACAAATACACATCAATATTTCAATTTAAGACTTTATTAATTACTTTAACCATAAAAAATACAAAAACTACACAAAAAATGTATAAATAGCACTACATAGGTCAATATAGCATGACAATACATTATTATTAATATTATTAAATATTACATAGTACAGTATCCATAGAAAAGTGAGATGCCTGCATCTCAAACTAAACAGGTTTAAATACATATAAAAAGATCATAAATAGCATCCTAAATAGAATAAAATTAATACCAATAAAAAAAGGTTGCTGCACAATGTTTGCATGACATGTAGCTCATCGAGCCATCAGGCACTGTGAGTGTAAACAGTCTCATGGAAAGGAAAGGTAACAGGTGACAGTACCTGGCACAGTGCATCAGTACATTTCAAGAGGTGGCGCACACTTCGAGTCTCAAGCGCATGAACAGGCCAACATTCATCAATGAGTTCATAAAACAAACCTGCTTGACGAGAAATCTTTTGTAAACAGTGTAGCAAATCAGGCACATCCTGTGTAAAGTACACCCAAACTCATGCTAGTCACTTTAAAGGGTTGGAACCATTACTCCACCTACAGGGAAGCATGAAGTCCAATAAAACTTGGCAATTGGCCTCACAGTGTAATCCCACAAAATGCAGAGGCTCTTTTAAACCTAAGTTATATTCAAAATCCAAGCTGAACTTATCGTAATATGCCTGCACAGTTTTTTTTATAGAGGCGTGGGCATTTGATTCAAACACAGTTTAGATTTTTTTTGGTGGCCAAATGGCGATGGCTCTGCTAAATGGTGGGCTAAAATGACTTGGCATGATATTCATTTGCTATCTTATGACACCGGGCTGCAGAGTGTCATCCATTCATGATAAATTAAGTGTAATGACATTCAAAAATACAAAATGTGCTGTAATTATGACATTTGGCACAGTATTATTTTGCTTTTTCATGACACCCAGCTACAAAGGCTGAATTATTCAGTGATAACCCCAAACTGCATGTTGAGATATTATCCAATAAACGTGGTCAATTCTTACGAAATACTAATAGATCAATGGATAGTAATTTAGAAAACTTAGTTCCAGTCATGTTTCCCAGTTACAGTTATCCATGTTTTGCGTAGATTCACTTACTGCTGCAAATGTAGCATTTACACCAGCTAAATGTGTAATGCATATCGACACAAAACTGAAAAAAAAAATAATAATTTACACATATTTATGTGCCAAAAACAATTGAATGAACTAAGGACTGTGACAGAAGACTATACAATTCTGATTAGCTTCACTATCTTAATTTAGTATATGAGCGTGCTAACTTGCTAATTAACGCCATGGTCACCTTGTGATTTTCATCTTTTTATGCTTAAACCGGGCCACATTTTAACAATCCATCCAGCTTTTCTGGCCACAGCCAAAGCTGCACACCAGACAACTTTTCTGTTTAAATATTTTCCACTGGCATGACAAAATACTGCCCAAACTGTTGGCTAAGAGTGGTTTTGTGGGAAGGCATTAGCAGTGTCCTGAAGGCTTGAACTGTGAGGTTAGTTTCTGGGGCAGCGAGAGTGCCTCTGGAAGTGCCGCAACACCCTTTTTGACCAGATGCAAAAGGCTTCCAACCGCTCAGATATTTCCAAAGAGTGCCTGAGAGCATCAAAAGCAGTGGAGATGACGGGGAAGGAGGGTGGGGACGACTGAGGAACCTCCTCAGTGATCTAAAGACAGAAGAAAGAGCCGATTAGATCACAAGAACTCAAAGGGGCTCACATGTTGGTTGTTGGTTATTTGAAATGAGAACATTCCCAGCTGAATCCTGTCTATGAATTTAAAAAAAAAAAGTTTTGGGTTATTTTCCGATACTACAGGGTTTGGAGCAAAGCTTTTTACCATTAAAGGAGGAAAAAGGCCTCAGATTCAAAACATTTCGGAACCCATTTGTATCACATGTGAAACATGTGGCATTCTACGGTTAAACATCATCCACAGAAAAATGAAAAGACACTAGTGATCCTCCCACCTGCTGGAGAGATGTTTTGATGAGGTTGGACAGGTGATGGAGGTGTCTGCTGCTGCTCTCAACTGCCTGGAGGGACAGGCTGAAGTTTTCTTGGGCAGTTTTCATCCAGCTGACGTGAAGTTTAAAGGACTGGGTGTACTCGTACATCTGAGCCAGTGACTTGTTTAGCTGCAGGCACATAAAGCAGACAGAGTTCATATCTCTTCCTTTCACATTTCCTCAGCCCTCAAGTTTAAAAGCGGGCTTGTTCATTTTGGGATTTCAGAAACCTCATGGTTACCTTCATAGTGCTGAAATGAGCAGCCGTGTACTCGATGTGAGGAAGACTGTCCAGTCTGTGGTCCAAGTGAGCCAGGTGCACGAGCTCATCGTCTGTCTGCGGAAACAAGACAACAGTCAAAGGTCAGATGAAAATTTTTTTTATATTTTCAAGAATAAATACCAAAAAAGGAAGGTTGCAATAGACTGCGAACCTTTAAGAGTGTATGGATTTATTATTATTAGTGTACTGTTGGAAAAAAATGCTGACATATGGGGTGAAACCTTACCAAGTCGTGCATGGTTTTTGCTAAGTCCATCAGCTGCTCCACCTGATGAAGCATTGATCCAAACAATCCGCAGTGGGAGCTGCCGTGCACGGGACGGCATGACGAGTGGACGATCAGCTCAGCCAACACCAGCAGGTAGAGAAGACAAGAGACGGACTCGTGAATCACTGCAGGGACGAGAAAGAGAGGCAAAAAAATGATCAGAAGAACGCTCCCCACAAAAGTACCAAATGAACAGCGGTTAGTCAAATGTGTGCACACAGCTGCCCACAACAGCCGGCTACCAGAGCTACACAAATCTCACAACCTGCTCTGGGTGACTCAGACAGAAAAGCCACAAACATGAACAGAAACATGTTTTGATTTCTGGACCTCATGAGCAACAAAGCGAGGCAGCTGCATTTGGCTGCTGTGAAGGTTTCTATCCCTGTTTGTCACAAAAGTAAAGAAGCCAATCGACGGAGGTAATTTGGATAATTGTGCGAGGATTACCACGAAGGGCTGAATCACTAGTTTATGAGCACATAAAGCACACTCACACTGAAAGGAAAGTTATTTGATGCCACTGAACACACATTTACTGTAGTTTACTGCCATATCAGATAAGTGGAGGTATCCTGTAGTCCAGACGTAAACAGCAAGAATCAGATCGGAGTCTCAGTTATGTCATAAGGGCTAAAGAAAAAACAACTGACAACAGCTATAGATTCCTCACAACAAATCCTGTAGAATCAATGGTGTGTTTAAGGATGGCATAAACATCAGTTTTGCCCCTTTTTTCTTATTTGTTGTCAAATGCTCACAGCTTGAAAGAAAACTCCAGGTTAAGCTAAAGATCCCTAAAGATCAGCCATGATTTACAGGTTTAGGGCTCGTGATTAGCTATATTCAGTATGGTAGGCTTATAATCTTTAACACTGTTCATGTCCTATAAACACTCTGTATCAGCTCTTAACCGGTGGAACATAGCTGTCCTTTAAACTGTGATATTCCCGGTTGGTTGTTGAAAGAAGAAGCTGTACAGACAGCAGAGAAATAATCAGTGATTAGTGAGTGTGTTCCCACAAAGCTGTAGACTTTAACTGTAAGCTGACATATCGCCTGTGTAAATATGGTCTTGCGCCCCGTTTCCTCCATTCAAACAACCTGAATGGTCTGAAATTTCCATGTGTAAACAGCCTGGTGGATTACACCCTAGCCCTTTACATGTTTGAATTGAGGTGATTTTGACACATGAATTCAGTTAAATGAGTCCAACATTTAACCTGCTTTTATGCAAACTCTCCCCTGGGTTAAATAAGATCTAAAATGCTGCAGCCAGCTGGAGTCCCTCTTTGTCAAACGCCTGCCAGCTTTGTCATTTTCTGCTGAGCTCATTAACCTTTGATGAAAAATCATCACCTCTGGAGGAAATTCCAAGCTGAATAAATAGTTTGAATGCTTTCCACAAGAATCAATCCCTCACATGTTTTGTGGATCAGTTTGTTCTCGGCTTTTGGGATTTGTCTGAATGACTTACTCCATCCGTCTTTGGATGAAATATCACTTTTGTCAAGATTAGATCGCGTCTGAAAATATCCTCAGTGGTCAACGTGGTTTGTGCAACCAGAAAAACCCCAAAACTCATAGCAACAAAGAAAAGAACTGTCTGTTAGATGTGTTAGATCACTGATGAGGAATGTGAGGTATGCAGTGTTTCTTTTTTCCCAGCCTGCTGCGGGCCCCCAGTCGACCCAGAGTCTGACTCAGATTAATCTCTTTGTGGTGACATCAGCAGGCTGACGCCTTAGGCTGCAATCTTTAGAGGGAAAACATCCACTTTGTCAAGACTGTCAGGGCTCTTTAGACACTTTTACTGCCACCCAGACACTAACAGCGGCGTAGTTTATGGGTTTGTGCAGAGGTCAGAGGTCAACAATGAGGAAAAGCCTCGCCTTTTTTCATCTCGTCTGAAGTTACCATTTGGAACAAAAGAGTTATTTTCACGCACATTAAGTAAAAAAACTTTACTCCTATTTAGTTAAAGGGGTTCCCAAAGTCTTTCATCTCATTTATTTAATGTTTTCTTAAAGGTTTCTGTCACTTTGAGATCAGACCTGAATCAAAATTCAGCAGAAAGTCGCCGCCGCAGAGATGAACTCCCTTGTGCTTTCAGGCCTGAATGCACAGAATCAGCAGCTGAAACGTTTTGCACAGGCGGCCGTTTTGACCTTGGCCCAGTTTTCTGGCGGCCTCGGCGAGCAGCCGTTCTCCAGGTGTCGGGTTCCACGTCACGACTTTGACTGGAAGTCAACAGCGGAGCAGAGTGGCAGCGCTCAGATGAGGTGCCAGCTTCGAGGGCTGAAGCGCGACGTGGGGCTTCGGGGCGCTGGCGTGTTGGGCTCTCTTCTGTAACTGTGGTGGCACCTGTGAAAGCTCGTTGAACCCCAGCCTGCTCCCACACCTCGGTGACAGATTTGGGTTTGCAGATCTAACCTAAAAACCTATTTAAAACCATCTCTAAACCAATTCTCAATCATCTGTTGGGTTATTAACAAAATTGTGTCTCTCACTTAAAAACTATTTCAGTAACTTTATTTTAAATGTCTATGTGTATTATGTTTAATGACAAACTTTTTCATGTAATTTTATGTTTGCATAGTCATTTAATGTATCATTGTCATTGATTTAATTTAATCTCTTGCTCTGTGTGTAGAAGAACTGTAGCGTTGTGTGACCACTGCTGATCAAGCTACTCTCAGCCGAAAGACTCACACAGCTGTTTTAAATCTGAGAGACTTCATTTCCAGGTTACATAAAGGTCTTAATAGTTTCCTTACCTCTGCTTCTTCCAACCACCACAAAGTGTTGGACTCTGTCTTACTTAAGTAGACAAAGTTAAAAATAAATATATTGGATAGGGTTCCAGAGCAAAGAGTGCCATCAGAGCTCCCTATTTGATTAAAATCTCACCCTAAATTCTATTTTTGTATCATGTTTGTTCCTGTTTTGCTTCATGATTGGTTAAAAAAGATAAGGAAACAGTTAATAGTTGAATAAAAAAAGCTGTATGAGTTCCTCAGCACAAAAATGTCACATCTAAGCATAAATGACAGCAATTTGAATCCTTATCTGAATCCTGCCAGCTCATGTTAGATAAAACTGTGGTTAAACCACATTAAAATGATCCTCTCCCTCCGCAGTGGAGCAAAGTTTAGACTCTAAACACACTTATTCCATTACAGGCTTTCAATTACAAACAGGTGCTGGCACACCACACACTTTCTTCCCGGGCATCCTGAATAAACAAAGCGTCAGGCTCTCTGTTATCGGTTGTTGCATCACAGCAATCGCACATGCAATCGCAGGCTTTAAACTGCAAACGGTTCAAAATCAGACACGCGCCGGAAATCTGGCTGCTGGAAAACTACCGAGGGAGAAGTGAGCAAAAAAAAAAAAAAACAACCCAAAACTTTGCGTCAAAAACAAGGAGGGAAAAACATCCTCCAGGAGCGTACAGTGTACAGTCATGTGTCTGGCAAAGCACCCGGCTGTGACAGCATGCCGGCTCAGAGTGAAAGGGCCGTCTTTGATGCCATTACCAGGTCAGAGCTCCCTCACTCACACATGAAACAGCCACAAGTGCGTGCAGTGTCTCACATAATCATCGACTTCCACCGTTTCCGTTTGAGCTCGTGGCCTTTTTTCTGCTTGGTCAGGCAAACAAACGGCGGAGTTTCCTGTGTTTACGCAGTGAGCGCCTTATTTCCCCCGCTGGCCTTGCTTTTGCTCTAAAGCGCTCCTCAACAGGTGCTCCATTAACTGTGAAGAACCCGGTGAACCGAAAACATTAACTGTGAAATTCCTGCGCGATTCAGATTATAAAAACACATGAAAAACACATTCAACGGAGCAAAATATACAGCTAAAACTGACTTAAGCACACCAAATAGAAACTTAAGGTTTTAATCAGTGAAAATTATACTGTAGATAAGAATTTTTATCTAAAAAAAAAACCTCTCAGGTTTCTGAAACAGGCCGAGCCCGGAACCAGGAACAGGTTTTCCAATGTCGGAAAGTTTAATAAGAGAGGAATTTCACACATTTCCAGCGAAATGTAGCATGGGCTATCTTGAATTTCTTTAGTCTGTATGAGTTTACTTGATAAATGCACTGTCCTGTGCCAGTTCAGGGCTCACTTTCAAGAATTTGTATTATCTGCTGGATGTTTTCCAGCATTTAGCTGTTTGATCAGTGACATGTGAAACCCAAAGCGATATAGACTAAAAACAACCGGTATGCTGTTCCAAAAAACAGCCACTGATGATGCTCCTTGGACTCACTGCATTTGTGGACAGCTGCATACTCTCACATAACAAAGTCCTGTCAGGGTTCGATCAGAACACACCTAAAGAGATGCCACTCATTCCCGCTTCCAGCCACTGGGGGCGCACCGGGACCCCAGCTGACTCACTCCATCCCTGGATACATCAGAGGTATGACCCCACTCGGTGAGTGCGCACTTCCATTACTGTGAGTTTCCCGGTGATCTGCAGTGATGTCATCGCTGTCTGCCAACATGACTGCTTCCAGCTCTCTCAGACAAACACATTAATGTATTAATCACCATGTTTTCTTAACCGGGGGCTCGTCTTCGAACTCCAAAGCATCACCTAAATGCCAGACTGGACGTAAGTAATCGAAGATGGATGCAATAAGCCAATATCTAAGCGGGGGGGGGGGGACAATGAGGTGAGAAATAGCAGTTGACCTCCTCTCACAGTGAGCAAAAGCTTCTCCAAAGTCGACTTCGACAGAACCACAAGCGAACGAGCCTGAAATACGAACATAGCGTGGACATAAAGAAAAATCTGACGGCACTTTCACATAAGTTCTGCCAAAGAAAGCTGAACAAACCAACAGAACGAAGACCTCCGAGCTTCACCTTCGTGCCAAAATCTCTGCAGCAGTAACACAAACATTGACTGCTGGTGCTGTCAGGTGGAACAAGGAAGCCTAACATGTGGTCTGAGATGCCTGTGGGCCGACTAACCAAGAATTTATGACTCCGACGCCTTAATGATGCAATAACATAGACATTAGACAAAACAAAGCATTCTGACACTGACATGATAAGACTTGCTTAAAGCCATACAGTACATACATTACGTTCATCCGCCATTAAGGCGTTAAAATCGTGCCAATGTGAGCATATCAGGCAGCAA